ACCCAAGGACAGTAGAGACAAGGGCCAGGAAGATTGCTCCATAGTTGGAAGCCTGCCTCATGAGCAGTGGGGAGAAGGCAGCTGGAATAGAAATGGGATCACTAAGGAAATGCTGGTTAGAGGGATCAGTCGGGATGGGAGACGTGTGATGAAAGTAGATAAAGGACCAAACATGATAACCTCTCAATAACTGTATTGCAAACCATAATGCCCCAAAGTAGAGAGAAAGTATGGGAGAAATTGTCTGCCATGGAGGCAGGGGGAGGATGGGAAAGGGCGTTATACTGGGGATATTGGTGGTGGGGAATGTGCACTGGTGGAGGGATGGGTGTTTGATTATTGTGTGATTGTAACTTAAACATGAAAGCTTGTAGCTATATCTCACAGTGATTCAATAATATAAAATTTAAAAAATAAAATAAGTATCTCAGGGGAGATAGAAAAATAAGATACAAGAAAATATTTGGTACAAAGTTGTACCTGGTCAGGAATTGCAATGGCATCTGCTTTTAAGAAAATATGGGTCTAGAGAAGACAAAAAAATGATGGATATACCATTTAGGAAAACTGAGGAAGAAAGTGAAGAGATAAGCAGAATAAAGAAAGACAAGAGCATTCTTCCTTAGGAAAGCATATCCTGGGTCCCAGAATGTCTGGAGGAAGGAGAGTTGTGATGTGACTGAGAGAAAGTGATCCAAAGAAGCCCAGAGAAAGGGTGGAGGGCCTTAAAAACATCCTTGGACAACTAATGAATATAATCACAATTCAGTGCCTGAGTACAAAACATGTGGTGCAAGGACAAAGCAGAGAAGACCCACTGTGTTTTAGAATCCACAGAAAGAAGAACCTATTTCATCAGCCAAAGCAAACCAAATATACTCAAAGCAAACCAAATATACTCAAATATACTCAAAGAAAGTAGATTTGTGAGCCAAAATTACCTGAGCGATTATTAATCTAAATTTGTTATAAACTTGAGGATATTGCAGAAATACAAGTATGCAGAGCATGAGCAAAGCTTTGCTTATTTAAAAAAATAATAATACTTAAGTTGTGTTGTCCATAAGTCCTCCAAAGTTGGAAAACTGAGTTAAATATTAGTACTATTAGAGGGAGGCATGCCGAAATCTGATTTCAGGACTAGATTTTAAAAGTCAACCAAGGAAAAGGAAGTTTCTGGTGGAGAGCAGGTGGAAAACATATTATAGGGAAATCAAGGAGTGTTCAGCAAACACGAAGCAGGACAAGGGATCCGGGCAAAGGAGTCTTGCTCCTGCCAGAGGTTCCAGGATGCAAGATAGAAGGCAAACGACTGGAGAGGTGCCTGGCTTTCCCTTCCCTTTTTATTTTTTCTACTCCACTCTCAAGACCAGGGGCAAAAATACTAATGTTGTCTATCCACCAACATTATGGTACACTTGAAATCTGAGTTTATTGAAAAGGGAATTTTTCCTGATAGCACACAATCTGTTTGAATTTTAATGAGCAATGCCTTCTTCTTTTAATGTATTATTAAATAACTTAGTCCATATTTTGCCACTAAATTCAGCAATTATCTTCTGAGATTACACTATCTGCCAGACTAAGTAATCCAGGAGACACAGAGGGGATCAGCATCATATCAGTGTTTAATAGGTTGAGTTTTGTGGAAGTGGAACTGTTCCAAATATTTAATATTAAGAGCCACAATAGAAAACAAAATCAAGCCTCCAAGCTTAGGAATTTACAGTCTTATTGGCAGAAATGTACAGTTTAATGACCTGATTAGACTATAATCACATTACTAATACAATAAAGAGTATTAATCACAAAGTCAGGTTCAAGGGGAAGAAGAGATTATATTAAGCTGGTCGTGAAGAAATGCTGGGCACTGTTCAAACTGACATTGAAGAACAGATAGGAGAAATAAGTTCGATGAGTAGTTTTTTGGGAGTGAACCAAGTTAGGGAAACTTGGGACATGATGGGGAGAACCAGGCTGCAACCGTTTGACCAACGTTGGAAAGAACTGGAAGACATTTTAATGTGGTTTAGAGGAGTCTGAATTATTCAACTCCTTGGCTGATTTTTCAGAAATAAAGTATCAGGACTGGAAGAATTTGTGGAATGGATTGGAAAATGAGAGAATGTAAGGTTTAAAAAGATAAAAAAAATGTGTGTTTTTTTTTAAAGAAATGATCAATCTGGGCAAGAACTGAGTGTTGAAAATAGGTAAAGGGATATATATGATAACCTTTCAGTAGCTATATTGCAAACCATAATGCCCAAAAGAAGAGAAAGAGAGACATAGAGAGAGAGAAACAGAAAGACAGAGAGAAAGAGAGATAAAGAAGAACAGTTCCTGCCATAGAGGTGGAGGTGGGGGCCTGGGGTGGGTGTGGTAAAGGCGGGGGAGTGAGGAGGGAAACTAGGGACATTGGTGGTGGGAAATGTACACTGGTGAAGGAATGGGTGTTGGAACATTATATGACTGAAACCCAATCACAACAACTTTGTAACTGTGTATCTCACTGTTGTGATTCAATTTTTTAAGTTTTTAATTAAAAATAAATAAATTAAAATATATGATTTCCAATTCTTTTGGCCAGTGTTCATTCCTTAGTGATACTTCATGGTTTGAAAATATTGATTACTCCTTTGTGACATGGTTTTTGGTATTTGCGATAAATGTGGCTTTGACTATGTGGCTAAATTATTCTTGATTGGCAAATATGCCTATCAGTATTTATACAAACACTGCACATTGTGATTAAAAATAACTTCATGTAATAATAACATGGATACATGAGTAAAGCCATCTTATTATTATGCCTTTACTCACTAGAGTCCAGTAAGCTGAAGAGTGTGATTCCAGGACCTAGTTCTCCAAGGGACTGGAGCGATATCACAGTGGGTAGGGCATTTGCCTTGCATGCAACCGACCCAGGTTCGATTCCCAGCATTCCATATGGTCCCCTGAGCACTGCCAGGAGTAATTCCTGACTGCAGATCCAGGAGTAACCCAAAAGGAAAAAAAAAAAGACACTCAGTATGAATCACCTGATGTTTCTGCTTTTGTTGTTGCCTTTGAAACCCTAACTAGTGCAAAGTGATATTGCTAAGAGGATTTGGTTTTGCATTTCCTTAGTACTTTGTGATGGTGAGCATCTTTTTCTGTCTCTATTGGCCATGTCTGTGTTTTCTTCGGAAAAAATATCTGTTCAGATTTTTGCCCACTTTTTAATTGAATTGGATTGTTGACTTTTTAAATATTGGGTTGCACAAAGTATTTACATATATTAAAGACTACTGGTCAGTTATATGGTGTGTAACTATCTTCTCCCATTTCAAAGGTTGTCTTTCCAATGTGTTGATTATTTTCTTGTTGTACAGTGCTACCTGTACTTTTGGTGTTTTATCCAATAGTTCCTTGCAAAGACTAATTTCCAAAAAAAAAATTACTGTATTTTCTTCTAGTAGTTTTATAGTTTAAGTCTTATGGGCCTTTGATCCCAAATAGCCAAAGCAATCCTGAGAAAAAAGAACAAAGCTGGAGACATAACACTTCATTATTTCTAGGTGTATTTTTTGTTATAGTAACCAAAACAGTGCAGTATTAGCATAAAAATTAGACCATTAGAACACAATTGAAAGTCTAGGCATATAAATCCATGGTCAACAAATTCTGGACAAGGAAGCCAGAATACACAGTGAAGAAAGAGTCATCTACTAGATGAATGGTATTGGAAAGCAAGATATCCATGTGCAAAATAATGAAAGTCTTTCTTTTACCATATTTCACCTACTCAGCCAATAACCGCAGAATGCATGCACTGTTTTTGTCACATACTGGTGTTTTCAAATACTCAGAGTAACAGAGATATGAGCAAGATTATCTGAGCCCCGGGGGACTGGTAGTTTCTAAAGCATATCTACTTCACATCTCTGTTGCTAATACCCAGACAACACTGTAAAGACTGCAGTATTGATCTTCCCCCTCTTTGATTATTTCAAAGTCCAGCTCATGAATACACAATGTTCTCTCCAAGTAAACAACTATTTGATTTGGGCTTTTTATAATTTCATCCAGGTAAAAAGGTCATTGCCAGTCAAGGGCTAGAGGGGAAAAAATGAATGAAAATACCTGAATTAGGAGCTTGTAAGAGAATATAAAAAGGAAGGCCTTGCCCATGACTAACTCTTATTCAATCCCTGGCACTGCGTGTGGATCTGCAAGCACCTTCAGGAGTGACCACTGCACCTAGATCCAGGAGTAAGCCCTAAGTACAGATGCTCATCACATACCAAGGTGTGTCCTTTGTCTCAGGAGTGCCAAATGATCCTGTATTGAAAATGCAACCTGAAATGAATACTGGGAGAGAGAGGCAAACCATGAAATGGGCATGAAAATGGACACAGAAATGTTGGGAAAGTCAATCAGAGGTGGATGCTTGAAGAAGTAAAATAAGGTCAAGCTTGAGGGGTGAGAAGAAGAGGCATTGCAGGACCAACCACGTGATTCTGATTTGGAAGAGCCACCAAGATTGCTTTCCAATATAATCCTGAAGTTTCAATCCTTTTTTTGTTTTGTTTTTTGTTAGTTTTATCTCAACTGCCTCAACTGTCAGTAAAGAATTTTATTTGGAATTTACTAGTAAAAACAGAGAACACTTTGATTTTATATCAGGACCATTTTGCAGGTTCTAATGTTTGCATTTCTTACCTCAGTTATTAAACTCAGATACGCCAACCCACAAAGACTTGCTCCCTTGCCATGTTTGCTTGGAACAAGTGTAAGTTTTAGAGTAAAGGGAAAATATTTAGAAATAGCTTAATACAAGTGATAAATGTGTTTGCATAAACTTGTCTGTTTCACCCTCTGATATGGCTAACTACCCTAGGGTCCCTTATCATGGCAACAGTTAGAAAGAGGAGGGCTATATATACCAGAATTAGAAAATAAATGGTACATAGAAAGCTCTATTATGCATGCACCTGCATGGAGTCAGAGAGAGCGGCAAAATGAAGCGCCTTGTAAGTATATTTTCTGATTTCAAGCATAGGTAGTTATGTTTTCAGAGCCAAAATGGCCAGGGAGCTGTTATTCTATTCCCACCCGTGTTAAATTCATCAAATTTAACTCAAACAGAATTTCCAAATATAAGTTCGGGGAAAGGCAAGTAAACCAACTTGTCAGAAAATAACAATTAGTTTTATTAAATAGAAACTAACTAGAAATTAGTTGCACAGAAGGTTAAAACTTCTGGGGGCCAGGGAGATGGCATGGGGCTAAATACGTATGCTCTGTATGATGGGACCCATGTTCACTCCCTGCTGATATAATGGGCCTGGAGAATAGCTGGGTGTAGTCTTAAAGACTCCTGAGTGTAGTGCTTTCCAGCACCACTGGACGTGTACACTGCTGTGCCCTCAATGCTAGTCAATGAACCATCCAGCTCCATTGATGGACTAACACCTGGACTTATTCCTGGGCACCTTGAGCATTGCTCTGAATCCCCTACCTCCTCCTTCTGCCCCCTCTCCCCCAGGAAGCAAATTAGAATTGTTTGAGTTTGAGTAGATGTTTGTATTTTAAGATTCTCTCTCCTATATTTGTCTTAAAGATTCTCACTTATATTTAGGTTTCAATACACCTAGTATACAGCTCCTATTTCCTCTCAAAGTAGAATAACATCCTCTCTACTTGAATAACCTCATCACATTGAATGTTGTTCATATAGTACCTGTTTTCTTCCTTGAATATGTCTCTCAGGGAATTCAAATTAGTTTATGGTATCATCTCACGTGGAATATTGCATACAATATTGTGGGAATGGGGGAAAAAGGGATTTCCTGTCAATTTGAGTTTTGTTCTAAGTATACTTGAGCTAAGGGAGCCTTAAAATAGACAAGATAATAAACTATAAAGTGTGGGGAAAGGTGTGCTACTATGCTTTTTATTCTGTCTTACTTTGATCCCCTGGATTCTCTTTCACTTAGTCTCTGATGCCTAAAGTCCCCTACAAAAGACAAGGCAAGCCATGAGAAATAAATCAAGAAGAAGCAATTTACTGAAAATATATCAAGAACTAGTAACATTTGAGTTAAATATTGAGTAAATATCATAAATATTGAGTAAAATCAATATCAAATAAGGTGCAATGCATGATGTTAGGCAAGGTAGGAGGATCTAGAGGAAAGGAAAATAGGAGAAAAGGAGAATACCAGGTTTTAAGAAGATGAGTTAGAGGTTCCCAGTAGTTGGAAGGAGAGCCAGAGGTTCAATGTGGTAGTCTGAGAACCTGAATATCACTTCTTTTTATAATTTGACCTAAGACAGTCCTAGCCTCTGTGCAGTGAAGTGAAGTTGCCTCACACGTGGGGGAGGGAGGGTGTATGAGGGGCAGAACTGAGGACAAAACCCAAAACCCAGGGCCTAACACTTGTCAGGCATATGCCCTTACTATTTAGTCATTTCCACCCAACCCTGCTCCTTGCTAATGGTTAATTCTATATAATGGAATTGTCAATGGGTATAAAACAAAATCATATTCCTGAGTAAATGATAAAATTTTGCTTCACACCCCAAGTTCTGCTTTCCAGATGCTCATTGGACCCAAAGAGCACCCGTGAAAGCTGCAGATCCTTTTAAGAAGGCTCCAAGTCTGATGCTCTTTTGCATTCTCAGCTTTGTACTCTCGTGAGGCTCAGAGGGCAAGGTACACTGATATCCATTTCCATTTCAGACTGTATCTGCCATCCTTGTGGTCTTCCTGTTGACTCCATCGCTTGCTCTGATGGTGAGTAAGGGTAGGAGGGCCCAGCCTTCCTAGGTCTCCTATAACAGATCCATTTTTTTTGTTCTTGGTTTTTTGGGTCACACGCAGCGATGCACAGGAGTTACTCCTGGTTCATGCACTCAGGAATCACTTCTAACAGATTGATTTTAAAGGTGATAGGGAAGAGAAACTTCCCTCAAACTTTTGATGGGTGCTCTTCTTTTTTTCTGAATTTATCTTTTATTGTAATAATTCATTTAGAAAATTTTCTTTCTAATATGTCCATTCTTCCAAAAAAATCCCTCCTGGGGATGTTTTATATGCATTAACATATTTTAGATGTCTCAATTCTATTAACCTGTTAACATATACAGAATTAATAAAGAAGTCCACGTTTTGTAGTTTCTCTAAACATTTAGCTACTGATAAATTAGTCAACTTAGTTTTTAAAAAAAATTGTTGGATGTATCTCTGTTGCTGCTTCACTTGCAACACCTCATTTTCTTTTAAACATTTTTATTTTTAATATTTTATTATTTTTTTAGAGCACTGCAAAGCAGTTCATGATTAATGGATGGAGATGGAGAGTATTATGCTGAGTGAAATGAGTCAGAAGGAAAGAGACATATATAGCATTACTGCATTCATTTGTGTTATATAAAAATATATATAGTAGAAGAGTAATATCCATGGCCAGGGTAAACAGGGCTTAGGAGGACTGGTCAATGGTGGAATTAACCACAAGTGTGTGAGGGGCTGAGGGTAGGTAAGATAGAGAAGATAGTGCTATAAAAATAATAGCTGGGAATGATCACAGTAGACAAGATCTGAGGGTGCTCATTTCAACCTGCAAAGGACTGGGGAAAGAGCTTAGTAGTAGAACACATGCCTGGCAGGTGTGAGGCCCTGGCTTTGATCCTGGCAACGCACACACAAACACATACACACACATACACACACACACATATACACACACACCTAGTAGTAACTCTCTGGACTTTCTTCTCACTGTTGCTTGGTTTCCTGCAGAATCCCAGTGACAGCAGCCATCCTCTGGATGGGTCTGTTGGGACCCAGAGCATCCATGTCAATGCCTTGCGAGGTATAGTCAGCATCAGAGACAACAATGTTTTGAGTGAATGGGATGGAATCTTGGACTACAAGAATGTAAGATGTGGAACACACTCGTTACAATGCCACAGAAAACCTGTCTGCTCCAAACTTTAGCCTATGCTTTGCAGAGAGAAGAGGACCCTGTCTACATTTGCCTTCCCTAGCTTTAGGCTCTCCATGGGAATTCCTATCTCTAGGTAAGGGCCAGCTACCCTGCGGTTGCAGGACTTCTTTACGAGACAGTGACTCTGGAGGATTGTCTCTGGTCTACAGTAAGCCTGATTCTTCTGTGTGCTTGTGAGGACTTGACTTTTCATGACCCCAGAAGGCTTCTGAAATTTACAGAATCCCTATTTATTTACAGAATCCCTATTTCCATTAAGTGGTATGTGTTCTAGAAGTTGTTCAGTTTTGATCTTACATCTTAGCCCATTTATTGCCAAAGAATGATTCTTCATTTTTAGAAACCTAACCTTGGTGAACTTACCTGACTCCTAAGACTCAGGATAAAGAGGCAAGATTGAGAACCTATTGCCTGTGCTCTTCATCCGATTCCTGCCCTCACCCCCCCCCCAAACACACACAAACAAGCCCAACCAAGCACTGCAACCAGAGACATCCCTTAGATTTTATGTGCCTCAGTTTCATCATCTGCAAAACACCATCAATAGCTGCTTTTCCTACCTGCAAGGATTCCAAGAGGATTAAGTGAAGTTAAAGCCCATAGACCTTGCTCAACCCCTTGCCCTCTAGCCTCTGCTGCCTACAAGGTCCCTCCTGCCCACACACTGGGCATGCCAAGATAGACCCCCTCAAACATAGGCTTTCTCTCTTCTACCCATGTCCCTTTTTCCTAATGCCATTTCCTCCCTAGTTCACTAATCTGTCCCGCATCTCTTGCTATAGCATATAGTCTAGTTTCTCCATCTCTGTTTTGCTTCATAGAAATTTTTCTTTTTAAAAATATCCACATGGTGGCGAAGCCATGCAGAATTAAGTTGCTTGCTTTGTATCCTACAGATGCTGGTTTAAATCCCTAGCATCATCAGGGACCACTCCTGAGAACAGAGCCAGGAATAGCCCTTGGGCACTATAGGAGGTAGCCCAACTTTCAAATTTACACTTTTGCTCCTTTATGGAGCAAAAGGAGTCAGAGTTACTCGAACTGAAGGTCAATGGGCTTAGAGAGGACCACTCTGCTTCCACACTAAGAAAGGCCAAGTGACCAGCCTGGGACAGACCCAGGGCAAGAACAGAAATCAAGAGTCCCTGACCCAAGGCTCCTAGTCACCCAATGTGTCTGCAGAGCACTAGGATGTACAGGACACTTTCACATGCACCAACAAACTAATCCCATCTCCCATTCTCACAGGAAAGCTATTATTTATCTTTAACAGGCGTGGGAGCCGAAAGTCATGGTATAATTGAGAACTGAGATAGCGGTATGACAGAGCGGACCTTAAAGACTTGATTCCCAGGGCTCTCCTCTAGCCTTCCTGTCCTGATCATCCTTTAGTTGATTATAGAGTGGCCTGGGGATCCTTCCCATGTCTACAGAGTGGTCAGTGAGTGCCATGGCCCCTCAGGGGTAGCAGGGTTCTGTCTGGTACCCTTTTCTCTGGCACCTTGCACTGCCTTTGGCCTAGTTCTTCATCTCACAATCTAAGAGCAGCTAGATGCAGTGCTGGATAAGAGCAACTAAATGCAGTGCTGGATGTGAGCATGAGTCCACCCATACTGGTACTGAATGAATGACATGGCTCTGCCCTGCACTTTAAGGCCCTCCTGGTGACTAAACTGTTTAACAAGATGGCCTGTGTCCTGGCCAAGATGGACCAAGCTGTTTTCCCGACTCTGGATGACATTAGGAAGGCCCTAGACCAGCAGGTATGTGAGACCATTGTAATCTCCTCCTAGTTTGATATTTTCCAACTTTGCCCCTTTATCTTCCTAGGTCTACACTATATACCCAGAAGAACTTAGTTCATGCTTGCTCTTTTTGCTTGTCAAATCCAACCAGCATGCAACAGACCCAAGAACAATCAATGGCCCATTTAAGGCAATTCATGATTGTATCAATGAAAATTTCCTGCAAAAACATAATTCTTATGTTCTCTCAAAAGAGTTTGAGCTACATGCTATTGTACCATAAATCACTGAATATAAATATTTGAGTGAACAGATGGAGCATCTGCATCTCCAAGACTTCTCTCTGTCCCAGTTCAACCCCCAAGTTTAGATGCACATATTTTTTAAAAATTTTTATTAGTGAGACACCATGAGGTATAGTTGTAGACTTACAAATTTTTGTGCTTGGGTTTCAATTATACAATGATCAAATACCCATCCCTCCACCAGTGCCCATTTTCCACCACCACAGATCCCAGTATCCCTCCCACCCCTCATTCCCCCATCCCACCCTGCCTCTGTGGCAGGGCATACCCTTTTGTTCTCTCTCTCCTTTTGGTTGTTGCGGTTTGCAAAAGAGGCATTGACTGGCAATCATGTTTGGTCTATAGTCTACTTTCAGCATTAGATGCACATATTTTTTACAGTTGAAAAAAGGCCCCAGAGACTGAGCTTCTCTTCCCCTTAACCTCTTGAAAAACAGAGTAGTCAAATAACATGAAAACTGACAGGAAATCCTGTGCTAGCCATTTGCATGCTGCTGTCACCTGCTCACCACAGTGGACAGCAGTGACATTTATGACTGGAAGGTCACTGGTTTAGGAAAAACATCACACTTTAAGTTGTATCAAAATGAAGCAGTGTTTTTTGCCTTTCAAGAGCAGAAGAACTCCAGTCTGATGTATAACAAGTAAAACTACATCACAAGTGTAACCATTTAAATACTATTCTTTATTATCATTAACAATATGATAATAGCTAACAGAGAAAATGGAGAGAAGCATTAGAGGTTGGCATGGCTGAAAAGTTGAGTGAAATACCCATGGGGGAGCAGGACACACAGGTCCAAACACAGTTTTTTTTTTCTGGAGTAATGGTGCCACCAGATAGTCAGAGCAGATATTGTTGTCAAAGATCCCAAATAGGGGCACACTTGGGTTCAACCGTTTCTAAAAATTTAATCACCAGCATACACTCTCACAGCTTACCTCTCTATAGGCCAGAGACCATGAATCATAATTCTCATTTATTCCTCCTTTCTGCTCTAACTCCACCTTTCTATGCTAGCTCACTGTTCAAAAATGCCATTTCTTCCAGACTAAAAAACATTCTCCCTCCACTCGCGGCTTGACCTACACTGTGTTGCCCACCCGGGTCAAGAACCTAGCCCAGTATGGAATGGCCATCAAGGACATGTGCAGAGAGGTCCCCACCTACTTTGCCCACCAGCAGAAAGAAGGTATGTAAATCACTTAACCAGAAATCCAAGATCAGGGCTAGTCAACAAGGGCGACATGATTTCTAGGTCATTGAAAAATTCTAATGAGTGTTCAAATCTATTTCTTTTATTTGTCACTGGAGATTAAAAAAAATAATGTGGCCTGAGATCCAATGTGGATCTCTATGTGATAGAGATGATTTCCAGATCAGAACAGAATTGATGGAGGGAACCTTCCTAGAAGTTCAAGGACAGAGATCTCAGTGGTAGGATTTGACAACAGTGGGTCCCTCACCTGGCTCCAAGTCACACACCAGCACAATACCACCACTTAACATTAGAAATATATTGCCTTCAATTCCTCCCCACTCCTTTTTCTCAAGCTGCACAAGGACAACAGGACCCCAAGAGTTAGTGCTGCTCTGGGAAGGGAACATGTCAAGAAAACTTGGCAAAAACTGGCGATAAATTGGGACATGGGAGTGGAATGATCAGTGGTGATGGGTTTATATAGCTGCCAGCTAAGGCTGCAAAATATGCCTGCTAATCCTAATAAAGTCACGCACCCCTTTCCTCCAAATTGTCTAACATTACTTGTATGTTAGTGCAAGCCAGTGTCTCTCATTCAGGGACATACAACCCTCTGTGAGTCTCCAAGCTATTGCGAGGGTCAGAGGTGAAACCTGTATAATTGGAGGAGGCATGATACAAGACTGGAACAGGAATGGGGGTGGTGGTTGCCAGCTGGTAGAACAGGGAAACCACAGGAAAGAAAAAGGTAGGAAGGCAGCCTCAATCAGAAAAAAGTCTGATAAATGCCAATAGAAGCAAATACAATGAACAGAAAGCTCTTCCTAACAGAAGGCCACTGCAAGAAATCAAGAGGGACTGAACTTGAGGCACTAGATAGGTTAATCAAGGTCAGTGTGAGTCAAGGGTCTTGCATGCCTAGAACCCTGGCTCACCCAAGCACTACTTGCCCCAATCCTGAGAACCACCAGGGTTACTCTAGAGGGACCCTGATTCAATTCCCAGGACTGCACAGTCCAACAGTGCTGCATCCTTGGGCCTTGGCCTTGAGTCATCTGACCCAATTGGTCAAGTATCACTTGTAGTGACTCCTGGGTAGAGCTTGAGAGAACTTTCCCCCAAATCTAAACAATTGAAAAAAATCAACAGAGAAACAGGGCCTGGAGATACAGTACAGTGGGCAGGTCACTTGCTTTGCATATGACTGATTCAGGTTTGGTTCTGGCACCGCCTTTGGTGCCCCCAGCCCCACTAGGAATGATCCCTGAATGCAGAGCCAGGAGTAAGCCCTGAGCGCCACCGGATATGGTCCAAAGATCAAAACAGAAAAAAAGACAGAAAGAAATCAAGAGGGTATGTGTCCTCTATTGCAGCTAATGGGACATCATCCACTTCAGACCCACAGACCTACAGCTCACCGGTGTCTTGAACCCTCTAGAAAAACTGAACAAAGCACTACGTGTAATTTAGTCCAGCTCATAATACACCATTTAACTTCAGAATCTTAGTGATCACTTAGATTAAGTCATCTTTGTGAAATAATTCTCTTTCCTCTCATAGGTTCTGCCCTCGCAATTGACCCTGATTCCTGTTCTGAGCTCCACCTTCTGTCCTTTATGGGAATCTCCATCTGTGGTGAGATCCCTGGACTCTGAATCTCCAGGGACAAAGGACCCACCTGGATGAGGCCACTGACCCGAAATCAGTGCCCAGCATCCCTGTTCTGTTGTGAAGCAGCTCATTTTAGTTCTCCATTTTTGCCTTGTACCCCGACATCCAGCTTTGCAACCTGGAAAACAGGGTGTGATTTTTCCCTGTGGGTTAAACCAATAAAGTTTCCTGCCTCACTCAGAGGCATCCTGCCTGCACTGCACTCACTCAGTTACGATTGCTCCTATCCACATGTGCTCACAGTCCAAAGTATGCACCCAGTAAGGAGTGGAGGAAGAGGTGCTCTCCTATGGGATTTACTTTTGGGGGGACCCCTCTTGAATGTGTCTCTTGAAGAACCCCCTGAGAGCTTCAGCAATCAATCAAGCAATCAAATGACAGAAAAGTCTTAGAAAATAATACAGGCATCAGTTCCAGGGGAGGTGTTTCCTATAAAATGATGCTGAGATCCAATGGGCTATGGTAATAGGAGATACCACCTGCATCCTGAACATCCTTGGGAGAGATCCAGGTGAAATTAGTTTTCCCAGATCTCTCTTGAGAATCAGCTAAATGTCTTAGTGATGGCCTCCATTTATTTCTCTTTGTCACAAATGAATTTTTGTGAGACTCTATCTTTAATTTTCCATGCTTACAGCTGGTATTCCTGCAGTGCTAATCCCACCCAACACACAGAATTTCCCTGGCTCTTCTTACCTCGGAAACAAGAACAAATGAGGAAGATAGATAGGAAATAGGGGCTACAGACATCCTTTACACAAAAGGCAGAGTTAGAGTCTGGAACACTGAAATAGAGTAGGAGTGGGATTTAGCAGAGATGGGGCGTAGGGAGTAAGGGAAGAAGGTATCAAAGCTGGAGGTTGAATTGTGCGTGTGTGTGTGTGTGTGTATGTGAGTGTGTATGTGGCTACCCAGAGTCATGAATGGCAGGTTACTACCTAGGAAAAACCCAGGATAGGTCTCTAACAGGGTAAGATGGGACAGGCTAGAAGAAATTTAGTCCCATGCAGCTGGTAAGAAAGAGCAATGGAAATTTGCGCACTGTACCCTCAGCTTGGAAATAGCATAAACAACAGGCCCCCAGGCAGTCAGTCAGAGGTCTTGAGAGGATAAAAAGCAGCACTGGTGCCAGGGTTTAGCACAACATAACTGTTGTCTTTCATACAGATGTTTAGCCTCTACCACTGCCCTTACATCAGGAGCCTGTCCCCGTCTTGTTGCAAGACCTCTATCCCAATTATAGTTGCCTGGACCCTTTACTCCAAGTCCTCTGTGATGCTGTGGGGACTGCTGCCTCTTCACTGCCTTGATGCAGCCTCCCCCAGTCTGAGTCTCAGCTGCTCCCATATTATTCATCCCTCCAGGATCCATGTAGCTATTACAACAATCCTGTTACTCTTGGGGGCAGGGGGTGGGGTGGGGTGGGGTGAGCTTCAAGAGAGCCTCCACACCCGTATACTTGGCTTGTTGCCATCTCTGGAGGTGCTGCTCCAGGGAAACTGGTTTCCTCCTGGAAACTTTCCATTCAGGACCGGCTGCCCTCTATTGCCCCAAATCTATCAGCTCTAACATAGAGTACTCTGGACTCCAAGTAAGAAGGGCAACAGCTGGATCACACAGGCAAACCAGGTGTGCATGCTCTCACCTGCCCACAGTGGCATCAAACGCCTCCTCTGTCCTCCCTGTCTGTCTCCATACAGTGGCAAAACTCATGTGCAGGGCTGTGCCCACTATCCCCAAGGACCAGGCACGGACATACACAGCAGAAGCAGGCTGCAGTCCCAAACTAAAGGCGCAGCGCCACCTGCTGGGGAAAATGAGGTATCTACCCATTAAATTTTTTTTAATTAGAATTAAAGAAAAGAAAATTTGACAAAAATTAAGATGTTTGACACACACAAAAACATATTATTAAACAGCATGAAAATTCAAGTCAACATGGCATCACAAATACTGAAAATTCCCCAGAAACCAGACTTAAAAGACAGGAAAGATTGAGATCTAATAAAGAGAGAACTATCACAGAGAGACTCAGATATGCAAGCCTCCTAAAAGGCAATTAAGAAACTCAGGAACCTTTTCCTCTTCGCCCCCCAAGCTGTGCTGATCTTCTCCCAAACCCAGGTCAGTTCATCCGCCGGCACTTGAACCTGGGACTTATATTTCTCCCTGCAAGTCCCCCAGGCATCCTCTTGGACAAGCTGTGCTGGTCTTCTCCCCTACCCAGTCTTTACTTCCCCCTCCCCACACACACACCAGGTACCCACGGGGACGTGGCCTTTTCTGAAGCAGGCGTGGCTTCTGTAGAAGTGGGAGTGGCCTATTTTTCTGGGCGGCAGGTAGTTTAGCCATACCAAGGAACCTAGTTCCCAAACCTACACACCAACATGAAGAAACAACACAAATCCCCACCACATGGGGAGGACAACGAAAAGAATCCAGAAGCCTCTGTCAATACTGCTCACCTAAGGGACCTCTCTGACAAAGAATTCAGATACGAAGTCATAGAGATGTTCAATCAACTCAATGAAACAGTCAGACAGATATCCAGTAACATGACAGAAAAAATCGACAAATTATGCAAAGAAATGAGAGCAGAAATGTCACAAATAAAAGATTCTGTAGATGAAATGAAAAACTCAGTCTCTGCCCTCAACAGTAGAATGACTGCAGCTGAAGAGAGAATCAGTGAGCTGGAAGATCAGCTGCACCAAGCCAACAGGCAACAACAAACAGTGGCAAGGAACCTCAAAATAGCTCTACAGAGAATCAGAGTCCTAGGAGATGATTCCAAGAGGAACAACATTAGAATCATTGGACTACCAGAAGCTCAGGGAAACAATCCCAACGAAAAAAACACCGTCAAACAAATCATTGCTGAAAAATTTCCAGAGCTCCACAATGCAGCCATTCAGGTTCAAGGAGCCCAAAGGGTGCCTGCTAAAAGAGACCCTAACAAAAACACTCCAAGACATATTGTAGTTAGAATGATAGAGATACAATACTGCAAGCAGCACGGTCAAAGAAGGAAATCACATACAAAGGAGCACCCCTTTGATTCACAGCAGATCTATCAGAGGAAACCCCCAAGCCCTAAGGCAATGGCGGGATAGAGTGAAAAAACTCACTGAAATGAATGCTTCACCAAGAATACTCTATCCAGCTAAATTCTCACTCAAACTCGAAGGAACAGTACACTATTTTCTAGATAAACAGCAGCTCAGGAACTTCATAGACTCAAAACCAAACCTAAAACAAGGCTTAAAGGGGCTACTATAAGACAAGACAAACCCTACAAGCACAACACACCCTTATAGAAAGATGACACAAAACCCCATAACAATAATCTCTCTCAACGTCAACGGTCTAAATTCACCAATTAGGAGACACAGAGTGGCAAAATGGATTCAGAAACAGAACCCAACATTCTGCTGCCTACAAGAAACTCATGTCAACAGTTAGAGCAAACACAGACTCAAAGTGAAAGGATGGAAAACAATCCTGCAAGGAAACAGCTCCCTCAAAAAAGCTGGGGTGGCCATAGTATCCGACAACGTTAACTTTAGGTTGAAAAAGATTAGAAGGGACAGTGAAGGCTATTTTCTCTTCATCAAGGGATACCTACAACAGGAAGAAATCACACTCTTTAAATGTATACGCACCTAATGAGGTAAATATTTAAAACAACTGCTAACAGATTTTAAGGAGGACGTTGCTAGCAACACAATAGTAGCTGGAGACTTCAACATCGCCTTATCACCTCTGGATAGATCAACAAGAACAAAACTCAGCAAGGAAACATTGGCTTTGAAAGAAGAAATAGAAGAGAAAGGGCTTATAGACCTATACAGGGCTTTGCACCCCCAAAAGAAAGAAAACACATTCTTCTTCAGTGCGCATGGAACATTTTCCAAAATAGACCATGTCCTAGGCCACAGAACATACTTCTATAGAATCGGGAAGATAGAAATAGTATCAACAATCTTTTCAGACCATGATGCACTGAGAATAGAAGTGAATCACACACAGACACGGAGAACCAAATCAAACACCTGGAAATCAAACAGCTCAATGCGGAACAACGAGTGGATCAGGAAGGAAGTCAAGGATGAAATCAAAAGATACTTAGAAACAAATGAGAACTAAGACACAAGCTACCAGAACTTATGGGATGCAGCTAAAGCCGTATTAAGGGGAAAATTTATAGCTCTGCAAGCATATCTCAGGATGGAAGAAAGGATGTACATAAACAACTTGACTTCACAGCTCAAGTTCTTAGAAAAGGATCAACAGAAGGACCCCAAATCAGGCAGAAGGAAAGAGATCATAAAAATTAGAGCAGAAATCAACGACATGGAAACCAAAGAAACAATCCAAAGGATCAATGAAACCAAGAGCTGGTTCTTCGAGAAAATAAATAATATAGATAAACCACTAGCAACACTCACAAAGAAACAGAGAGAGAACCCTAATAAATAGAATCAGAAATAAGAATGGGGATATCACAACAGAAACCAAAGAAATTCAAAGATCATCAGAGACTACTTTGAAGGTCTGTATGCCACGAAACAAGAGAACCTAGAAGAAATGGATAAATTCCTGGTTTCCTATAATCTCCTTAAGCTGAATCAAGAAGATATAGAGTACCTGAATAGACCTATTAACATCAAGGAAATTGAAACTGTAATCAAAAATGTTCCCAAAAACAAAAGCCCAGGTCCAGATAGATTCACTAGCAAATTTTTCCATTTAAAGAGGACCTATTGCCAGTTCTTCTCAAGCTTTTCCAGGAAATTAAAAAACAGAAACTCTCCAAACAGTTTCTATGAAGCCTACATCTCTCTAATACCAAAAGGAAACAAAGACACCACAAGAAAAGAAAACTACAGGCCGATATCCCTGATGAACATGAATGAGAAGATTCTCAACAAAATACTAGCAAATAGAATTCAACAACTCATCAGAAAGATCATACACCATGACC